GTAGGGTGCTCCCTGTGCACGTAGCTGAAGCAGGTTTGATCCTCAGAACCCCCTGTGGTCCCCGGAACCCCAACAGGAGTGCAGAGCAGGAGTGCTCTCTGAGCATAGCTGGGTGTGGTCCCAAACTAAAACCAACCAAAGGTAAAGGTAAAGGCCCTCCCGTTGATCGTCGATTTGCTCGAGCGGGCCCAGTAACGTCTCCATTGGAGACTTTGTTGTTACTGTGTCTGGCATATCGAATACTCTCGGTAGCTTGCCGGGCTCTCCGAGAGGGGCGGAGGAAAAACCAACCCCCCCCCCCAAAAAAAAGAAAGAAGTAGCCTCTACATTTTGGGCCTGCTGTCCACCCTCACACCTCTGGGGGCCTCTGAGCACTGCTACAGATGCCGCGGGCCACTCAGGGGTACTGGGAGCACCAAGCCCAGATGCGTGGCTGCACTCTTCCTCTTTTAGAGAATTTTTTTTTTCTTTTTGAGTCACACCTGGTGATGCACAGGGGATACTCCTGGCTCTGTGCTCAGGAATTACCCCTGGCGGTGCTCAGGGGACCATATGGGATGCTGGGAACCGAACCCGGCTTGGCCGCGTGCAAGGCAAATGCCCTACCCGCTGTGCTATAGCTCCAGCCCCCTAGAGAAACTTCTGGGTCACAGTGTTGCCTCTGTGGATTCTTCCCCACCAGTATTAGTGCATTGCGATGTCTTCATCAATAGTTCACGGGGGCCCCGTTTCTGCCTAACTACGGTCATTTTCCTGCTCAAGTTGGAAGAGTTTTCCGGAGTTACTCCTTTTCCTCTTCACTCTTTGGAACCGTTGACAGGAAGCTCTGCCACCACCAGTCTCCCCAGAAACCTCCATTTTGGCTTGACCACGCAGTCAGCCCCGAGCCTTCCTGTTTGATCCTGTTAGTGGCAGTTGATGTTTTTCTTTCCTTTTTCAGCAAACATTTTCTCTTAAACCCACAGCCCCTGACCACTTCCCGCTCTCCTCTCCCTGTCCTCTTTTCTCCTTTCATCCTCCTCTCTCCTGCCTGACCTTTAGACCTTGGAATTCCCTGGGACCTAATCCTTGGATTTTTCCCCTTTTCTGTCATGGCATGCCGCAGTGAACTCATCCATACCGTCTTGGGTTTCTGTTTGTTTTGGTACCATACGGCTGTGCTCATGGCTTACTCCTGGCTCTGCTCAGGGATCACTCCTGGTGGGTTCGGGGATTCTTCGGGGGATGCTGGGGATCGAACCTGTGTCCGCCCTGTGCAAGGCGAGGGCCTTAATTGCTGTACTCTCAGCCCTAGTATGGTAAATTGCTACGGCTAATGAACCAATGTGGGCACATTGTTATTAAATCCACCCTGTCACTGATACCCGGAAGTCCGATAAACTTAGAATGTGAAATGGAAATGTATCCATTCTCACACCACTGTCACTTGTTTCACTTTCTGGAAGTCCCTCTGCACTCCACCTATTCTACCGTCCCCAAGGAGCTGGGTGGCCAGCACTCATGCTTTCCACTGGTAGCTGTTTTGTTCATTTGTGGGTTACTCCTGGCTCTGTGCTCAGAGGGCATTACCTGCAGTGCCTGGTGGATCATGTGTTGTTGGTAGTAGAATTTGGGTCATCTGCAGGCAAGACATTCCTCCATGAGTCTTTTATCCTGGACAACTATCATTTTCTCCTTTTGTTTTTGGGCCACATCTGGTAGTCCTCAGGGTTTCTTCCTGGCTCAGGGATCACTCCTAGTGGGCTTGGGGACCCTATTAGGTGCCAGGGATTGATCTTGGGTTGTCCATGTGCAAGGGGAGTGCCCTGTCCACTGTACCATTGCTTGTTCCAGTTCTAACAACTATCATTTTCTAACATGTGATAATATATTTTACTTATCATATTGGTCACTTGTCTTCCCTGCAGATTAAGACAAAAATCCCCTCCCCCTTTTCCTATAAATAAATAAAAGAATCTTTCTTTATGGGGCTGGAGCGACAGCACTAGGGTAGGGCATTTGCCTTGCACGCGGCCGACCTGGGTTCGATTCCCAGCATCCCCTATGGTTCCCCGAGCACTGCCAGGAGTTAATTCCTGAGTGCAAAGCCCAGGAGTAACCCCTGTGCACAGCCCGGTGTGACCCAAAGGGGGAAAGAAAAACCACCTTTCTTCATTGCTACATCCTGAGTATGTAAAAGAATCCTTTATTCAGAGAATGTGCTCAAGAAAAATAAGGAGGGGGGGTGGGAGGGATACCGGAATCATCGGAGGTAGAGGATGGGTACTAGAGCATTGTATGACTGAAACACAAGCACGATTGTTTTTTTCTTTTTGGGTCGCACCCCGGAGATGCTCAGGGGTTACTCCTGGCTCTGCACTCAGGAGTTACTCCTGGCGGTGCTCGGGGGACCCTATGGGATGCTGAGAATCGCACCCGGTTTGGTCGCGTGCAAGGCAAATGCCCTACCCGCTGTGCAATTGCTCCAGCCCCAGTAACCCAGATTCAAACCGCCCCCCCCCAACCCTGTATGGTACGCTGAGCACTGCTGGGTGTGGCTCAGGGCCACTTCCAGGAGTAATTAGTAACTAAGTATTGCTAGGGATAGAACTGGAGGATCCGGGGCAAACCAAGTGCTTTGACCCCCAAAATGCTTTTTTTGGGCATTACACCTGGTGGCAGCTACTTCCAGGGTGGAGTTCAGGGGACCAGGAGGTACTGGAGATGGAACACAGGACCCCTGCCATGCAGAGAGCGGGCTCCAGGTCTTAAAACTATCTCTTAAATGAATAGTGGCGAGAACTGAAGATGAATTTCCCTTCTAGAGCCCTCCCGGCAGAGGCTTAGAATCTGAATTTCCCCATGTCCCTAACTCCAAGTGCTACAGTTTCCTCCTCAGCACACTGGAGGCAGGTGGGAAAGAGGATGAGTTCAGATAACATCACGGTCTTCCATTGGTCCTACACACAGGCGGCGTTTGTGGGAGCGCTGGTGGGCTACACCCAGAAGGGGACTTTACTGCCTGCGATGGAGGAAGCCAGTGACGGCCACCTGCAGCCCACCTGGAGGAACAAGGAACACTCGGTACTTTTGAGGTTCAGGGTCTCACACATTCAAGGTAAGAGGTCCACTGCTGAGGAACGCTCTGCTCCCAAACATTAATCCCATTTTTTTTTGCGGGCACTTTTACATCCCAAAGCATCTATTTTTATTTCTTTTGGTCTGGGGGCTGCAACCTTCAGTGCTCTGGTGCGGTCATACCTGGAGGTGCTTGGGGTGAGAGTGCCGCCAGGAATTAACCCTGGTCCTCCTGTATTCTAACCACCCTGGTGTTCTTGGGCTTACTCCTGGCTCAGCACTCCTGGTGGAGATCAAACGTGGGTGGGGGCAGCACACCCAGTGATACTCAGGGGTGACTCTTGGTTCTGTGCTCAGGAATTACTCCTGGCAGTGCTCATCAAGGGGGAACCACATGAGATCTCTGGGATCAAACCCAGATGCAAGCATCCCACCCACTGTATTATCAATCCTACCTGTTGTACTCTCCCAACGCGTTTTGCATTTTGAGATGCAAGCCCTTCAAAAAACTTTTAGGGGGCTGGAGCGATAGCACAGAGGATAGGGCGTTTGCTTTGCACGCAGCCGACCCAGGTTCGATTCCCAGCATCCCATATGGTCCCCCGAGCACCCCCAGGAGTGATTCCTGAGTGCAAAGCCAGGAGTAACCCCTGAGCATCGCCGGGTATGAGACGCCCCCCACCAAAAAAAAAAAAAAAAGCAAAATACTTTAGCATCTCACAAAACCACCACGTCGGGGTGCTAGGTCGTTGCAATTTTTACCCGAGAAAACAGATTCGGGGGCATCGCGGGGGCTTGCCAGATCCCGTGCAAAGAGGCGGCCCCGGATTCCCACATGCACATCTCGGGCGTGGAGTCCCGCAGCCTTCGGGGCTCGCAGCGCAGCCCCGGGCCTCGGGGTGCCCACGGGGAGCCGCAAAGCCCGCGACCCACCACGTGCGCGGCCGCAGCTCCGCGGCGCTGGCAGACACGTGCGGGGACTTTGTAGGTTCCGGCTCCGCAGGCCCCGCCCCTTCCCCGCCCCAGGGGGCGTGGCCAGCGAGCGCGGGAAAATTCGGCGTCCGCGGACTCCCCCGGCGCGGGGAACGCAGAGCGATCCCGGGCCGGGTCGCGCGCGGGGGTCCCCCAGGCGCCGGCGCCCCCGCCCCCCGGGCCCCAAGCTGCGGGAGGCGCCCTGGGAGCCCTCTGCAAATGGCCCGGGCCACGCCAGCACGCACGTCACCTCTCCCCCACTTCCGGTCTGCAAGTCCGACCCGGGCGGCCGGGCCGGTTCCTTCGGCTCCAGAGCCCGCCCCGGTGCGGTGCAGGCCGGCCGGCCGGCCGCCGCGGGAGGAGCCGACGGCGCGCGCTCGCGCGGGCCCGCGGGCGCCGTGCACACGGTGGACGGGCCACGGGGCGTGCAGGGCGACCTCCCGTCCCGGGTGCGTGCAGGGCATCGCCGGCGGCGGCTGGAGCCCGCGGCGCACGCGACCCTGACATCCGGGCTTCCCTCGGAGTCTCCGGGCGCTCCGCTGAGCGCCCCCGCAGGGAAGCTCCGCGTTCTCGAGATTTGCATAAGCGGACTGCGGGCTCCGAGACTCCCGTCCAATAGGAAGCGGGGGGGCGGGGCCGCGCGGGCGCGGGCGCCGCCTCCCGGCGGAGAGCGGGGCCGCCGATTGGCTTCCGTCCGAGCGGCAGCCGCAGGGGCCAATCGCGCTCGAGAGGCGCAGCGGGCGGCGCGGCCAATGGGGAGAGGCGGCTCCCGAAGGCCCGGGCGCCCTGCCCAATGAGGCTGGAAGGGCCGGGCGGGGCTAGCGCCGAGCGGCAGCGCTCGCAGCCAACCCGGCGGGGCGCCGGGCGGGGCGCAGCCCTGACGGACAGGGGCGCCGGCCAATGGCGAGTGCGGAAGCGGGCCGCCCGGCCCGGGAACGCGGAGGGAGCGGAGGGAAGTGGAGGCCGACCGGGAGAGAAGCAGGAAGTAGCGGCGGCCGCGGGGAGGGCGGCGGCGGCGGCGGCGGTGGCGGCCGCTGCAGCGGGGGAGAGGCCGCCGGGGCCGGCCCGCGCCGGGGACGGAGCAAGTAAGCGAGCCGGGTCAGCACCCGCCCTCGGCCCCGCCCCCCGGGGGCCGGGCGAGCGCCCCCGCCCCTCCCCCACCGGGCCACGCACCCTGCCCCGCGCCCCGGGCGGCCCCTCGGGAGGCGCGGGCGCCGCTGCGGTCCCCGGGGCGGGCGGGCCTCGCGGGGCCTCGGCGCGCGGCTCCTCGCGGGGGACGCGGCGGCGGCGGCGGCGGCGGCGGCGGCCCCCCGGGTCCGGCGGCCCCGGGTCCAGCGCGTCCGGGGCCCGGCGGCTGCGGGTGCCGCGACCCAAGATGGTGCCCGCGTCCGGGGTGGGGGCGGGGGCGCTGCGGCCCGGCCGGGCGCGGGGCGGCGGGGGCGCCCGGGGGCCCCGCGGCGCGCGCGCCTCAGTTTCCCCGCGCCGCCGCCGCGCGCACCCCGCCCCCTCCCGCGACGCGGCTGCCCGCGGCGCCTCCGTCCGGCCGCTGCCCCTCGCCCCCGCCCGCCCCGGCCGCGGGCAGGCGGGGGACGCGGTCCGAGCGCGCGGCCGCCTCGCCGCAGCGGCCTGGCCGTGCGTCGGGGCCTGGGCCGCCGGCGCGCCGCTGCCCACTCGGGCCCATCGGTGACCTCTAAGGTCGTTGGGGCGCGGAGGGGCCGGGGCCCGCGGCGGCCGGGCCTGCGCGCGCCCCTCGAGCGCACGCCGGGGTCCGGGGGGCAGGTCGCCGGGCCGGGGTGGGGGGCGGCCCGGGCGCGCGTGGGGGGCGGGGGCGGGCGCGCAGGGGAAGCGCTTTGTCCAGGCCGGGGCCTCCCGAGCCCAGCGGGTGGCCGTCCTCGGCCTCCCCCACCCGGGTCCCCGCAGCGCCAGCTGCCACCTGCTGGGACCATCTCCTGTTCCCGGGGGACGAGGACCAGGTGGACCAGGTGAGCGCATCGGCCCCGCCAGAGGCTCGCACCCCGGTGGGCACGGGCCGGGCCCGCACATCGGCAGGGGCGGCCTCCCAGACGGCTCCGAGTCGGGACCCCTCCCTCCCGCGGCGCGTCTGCATTCGACGTTGGCCTCGGGGCCACCCTCGGCTCCGATCCGATCGCGCGTGGCGGGCTCGGGGACCCCCGTGGGTGCCACGGGAGAAGCGCCGTGGCGGGTTGCGCGCGAGGCACGTTGCCCTGCTTGCTGCTGTGCGGTCTGGCCAGCCTGGTTTTCCTCCTCGGTCCGGGGCCAGCCGGGGTCCGGTGAAGGGGACCGAGGCTACTGTTGCAAGGGGCGAGGCTACTGTTGCAAGGGGCGAGGAAAGAGAGTTTCCAATCGGGGAGGGAGGGGGCCTGGCTTTTTTGTCCCTGCTGCAGCAAGAGGCGGACTCTGGAGTTTTAGCCCAGGGAGGGAGGTGGGGGAGGGGAGGGGCCGGGAGGTGAGCTAGCGGCAGGTGTTTGTGACAGGAGAGGCCCAGGCTGGGGCCCCGGTGAGCAGGCTTGGCTTGCCTTGCCTTGCCGGCAGGGCTTTTCCTCTGTCCTCTTTGTCTTCCTGTTCTTCCATCCTGGGCCAGGGCCCTGGCGCCCTCCCTGCCCCTGCTACCCAGCCTAGGGTTCCAGGCTCCTCCGTGATGCCCCCCCAGGCTTCCTAGACTTGGCCTCTGGTGACCCTGGTTCTCATCACTGCCTCCGCGCTTCAGTGCTCATTTCTTCCCAGCTGCTGTTTGTTCGGGGTTGGGGGGCAATTCCCATCTGAGTGTGGTGCCCGGGACTCGCTCCTGGCAGTGCTTGGGGGGACCTTGATCAGACTTGGGGCTCCCGCATGCTCCGCCCCTCTGAGCTGCCTCCGGACCCGGCTCCCCAGCCCCCAATCCGAAGAGTTCACATTCTGGGTATGCTCAGGAGACCCGGTGTAGCCATGTCATTGGTCCTTGTTGAGATTACGTTGCCTTTATTTCAGTCCAGCAGCGAAAGACAGCGGAGAAACGTAGAGGGCCAGTGACAAGTGGGAGATGGTCCTTCCTGCTGTCCTGGCCTCGGTCACTGCCCCCCTTAGTGGTTCAGATCCCTGTGGCCCTCCCGGAGCATGAACGAGCCCGGTACCCCAGAGCCCCTTCTCCCCCACCCGTGATTGGGTCAGTTGAGTGGCTGGGCTTGGTGCTGGCCGAGGGTCCTCACAGCGCTCCCTCTTCTGCGCCCCTGAGTTTCTGAGAGGTTCCTTCCCCCTGTTTCCTCCGGATGGTTTAAGCCTCCCTCAGGTTTTAACCCTGGCCAGGCCGAGTCCACGTGGCTCCGAGGTGGGTCCCGGTGGCGCGCCTGAGGCAGCCTGGGGCTACGGCTGGGTGACGGCTCCTGCCTTCAGAGCCCTCAGTGTCCTCCTCCTGTGCTCATCAGGGCTGGGACCTGCCATCATGGGGGACATGAAGACCCCGGACTTTGACGACCTTCTCGCCGCCTTTGACATCCCTGACATCGACGCCAATGAAGCCATTCACTCTGGGCCAGAAGAGAACGAAGGGCCTGGAGGCTCAGGGAAGCCAGAACCCAGTGCGCAGGGCAGCGCCGCAGAAGCAGTGGCCTCAGCTGCGGGGGATGGTCTTGGGGTCGCCGGCCAGGCCCCCGAGCACGGCCCGCCGCCGCCGCCGCCTGACATCTCTGCCGTCAGCGTCATCGTCAAGAACACTGTGTGCCCCGAGCAGGCGGAGGCCCTGCCAGCGAGCTCGGGGGCGGCGGGGGGCGCGGGCCGGGGGCCTGGCGAAGGAAGGGCCCTTCGGACCGCGGCTGATGCAGAACGGCTTTGGGGGCCCCGAGCCCTCCCTCCCAGGCCCGCCCCACTCCCCAGCCCCTCCCAGCGGGGGCACCTGGAAGGAGAAAGCCTCGGAAGGCAAAGCCCCCCTGGACCTCTTCGCTCACTTTGGCTCCGACCCCGGGGAGCACCCCGACCCCCTGCCGCCTGCCGCGCCGTCCCCCCCTCGGGAAGGGGCCATGAGCCCCCCTCCTTTCCCCGCTCCCTTTGAGCTGGCCCGGGAGGACGCCGCCGCCCTCCTGCCCCCCGGGGCCTTGAAGCAAGAACCCTGCAGCCCCCTGCCCCTGCAGGGAGCCAGCCCCGAGGCCGCCAGCCTTCCTGCGGGCACCCTGCCGCCGCGCCTGCCGGGGGTCCCCTGCATCAAGCATTCCCCGGGGCACCAGAGCCCCCCTGCCTCCCCCACAGGCCCCAGCTGTCAGCCCCTGAAGGAAGAAGCCGAAGAGGGGCCTGTGGACAAGTCCCCGGCGGGCAGCCCCCACAGCCCCTCGAGCGGCGCCGAGGCCGCCGACGAGGAGAGCAACGACTCCCCGGCCTCGTCCGGCTCCTCGCGGCCCCTCAAGGTGCGGATCAAGACCATCAAGACGTCCTGCGGGAACATCACCAGGACGGTGACCCGCGTGCCCTCGGACCCCGGCCCCCCCCGCCCCCGCGCCCCCGGCGCCGGAGCCCCCGAAGGTGGTGAGCGTGCAGCTGGGGGACGGCACGCGGCTGAAGGGCACGGTGCTGCCGGTGGCCACCATCCAGAACGCCAGCACGGCCATGCTCATGGCGGCCAGCGTGGCCCGCAAGGCCGTGGTCCTGCCCGGGGCCGCCGCCACCAGCCCCAAAGCGGTGGCCAAGAACGTGCTGGGGCTCGTGCCCCAGGCCCTGCCCAAGGCCGAGGTGCGGGCCGGGCTGGGCCCGGGCGGCCAGAAGCTGAACGGGGCCTCGGTGGTGATGGTGCAGCCGTCCAAGGCCTCCCCCGGGCCCGGCGCCAGCGGGGGCACGGTCATCTCCCGGACGCAGTCCAGCCTGGTGGAGGCCTTCAACAAGATCCTCAACACCAAGAACCTGCTGCCCGCCTACCGGCCCAACCTGAGCCCCCCAGCCGACGCGGGGCTGGCCCTGCCGCCCTCGGGCTACCGCTGCCTGGAGTGCGGGGACGCCTTCTCCCTGGAGAAGAGCCTGGCCCGCCACTACGACCGCCGCAGCATGCGCATCGAGGTCACCTGCAACCACTGCGCCCGCCGCCTGGTCTTCTTCAACAAGTGCAGCCTGCTGCTGCACGCGCGGGAGCACAAGGACAAGGGGCTCGTCATGCAGTGCTCGCACCTGGTCATGCGGCCCGTGGCTCTCGACCAGATGGTGGGCCAGCCCGACATCACGCCCCTGCTGGCCGTCCCCCCCGCGCTGGGCACCCCGGCCCTGCCGGCCTTGGGCAAGGGGGAGGGCGCCGTCACCTCCTCGTCCGCCGTCGCCGCGGTGGCGCAGGAGGGCCCCGTGCTGCCGCTGTCCGCCGAGCCTGCCGCCGCCCCGGCCGCCGCCGCGTCCTCCTGCTTCCGCTGCCTGGAGTGCCAGGAGCAGTGTCGGGACAAGGCCGGCATGGCCGCCCACTTCCAGCAGCTCGGAGCCCCCGGCCCGGGGGCCGCCAGCACCGTGAGTGTCTTCCCGCCCGGGGGGGGGTGGGGGGGGTCTGGCGCCCGGGGACGGCCTGCCCCTCACCGGCTGTGCTCCCTGGTGTGACAGGTGTGCCCCACCTGCCCCATGATGCTCCCCAACCGCTGCAGCTTCAGCGCCCACCAACGCATGCATAAGAACCGGCCGCCCCACGTCTGCCCCGAGTGCGGGGGCAACTTCCTGCAAGCCAACTTCCAGACGCACCTCCGGGAGGCCTGCCTGCACTTCTCGCGCCGCGTGGGCTACAGGTGCCGCCCCCGCCCCCCAGGACCGCGGGGCGGGGCGTGGACGCAGGCGCCCCTCCCCCGCCTCGGCGCCGGGTGACCGCTGCCCCCTCCCCAGGTGCCCCAGCTGCGCCGTGGTGTTCGGCGGGGTGAACTCCATCAAGTCCCACATCCAGACGTCGCACTGCGAGGTGTTCCACAAGTGCCCCATCTGCCCCATGGCCTTCAAGTCCGCCCCCAGCGCCCACGCCCACCTCTACACCCAGCACCCCAGCTTCCACGCGCAGCAGGCCAAGTGAGCAGCGCAGCGGGGGGCCGGGGGGGCCGGGCCGGGCGGTGTCTGCACTGTCCTCTTCCCCCGCAGGATGATCTTCAAGTGTGCCATGTGTGACACCGTCTTCACGCACAAGCCACTCCTGTCCTCACACTTCGACCAGCACCTGCTGCCCCAGCGCGTCAGCGTCTTCAAATGCCCGTCCTGCCCGCTGCTCTTCGCCCAGAAGAGGACCATGTTGGACCACCTCAAAGTACTGAGCCGGGGCGCAGGGGGGGCGGGCGCGCCGGGCGGGGCAGGCGCGGGCCGGGTCCCGACCCCCTCTCCTCCTCTTCCTCTCCAGAACACCCATCAGTCGGGGTGCCCGGGGGAGGACACTGCCGGGAAAGGGGCGAGGGGCTCCCTGCTGACCCCCAAGACTGAGCCCGAGGAGCTGGCCGAGTCTCGGGCGGGGGCTGCAGCCCCTACCGAGGACTCCTCGTCGTCGTCGGAAGAGGAAGAAGCCCCCAGCTCCCCCGAGCCCCCTCGGCCTAGCAAGCGGCCCCGGCCCCCCCGGAGGGAGCTGGGGAACAAAGGGGTCAAGGGGGGCGGCGGGGGGCCCGGAGGCTGGACCTGTGGCCTTTGTCACTCCTGGTTCCCTGAGCGTGACGAGTACGTGGCCCACATGAAGAAGGAGCACGGCAAGGTGAGGTCCCTGCCGGGCCGGGGCGGGCCGGGGCCGGGGCCGGGGCCGGGCGGGCCCTGAGCACCCCCTGCTCTCGCAGTCCGTGAAGAAGTTCCCGTGTCGCCTGTGCGAGCGCTCCTTCTGCTCGGCCCCCAGCCTGCGGCGCCACGTCAGGGTCAACCACGAGGGCATCAAGCGCGTGTACCCCTGCAGGTAACCCGGCCCGCCCGCCCGCCCGCCGCCTCCGGTCTCCGGTCTCGGTGCTCGTGCCTGCCGCGGCCGGCGCCCGTGCCCAGCCCGTCCTCTCCCGCTGCAGGTACTGCACCGAGGGGAAGCGGACCTTCAGCAGCCGCCTGATCCTGGAGAAGCACGTCCAGGTCCGGCACGGGCTGCCGCTCGGGGCCCAGTCCCCTGGCCGGGGGGCGGCGCTGGCCCAGGGCCCCGCCGCCAGAGCCCAGGTAGGCAGCGACCCCGGGGCGGGGCGGGGGTCTCGCCGGGTCTCACGGGGCGCTGACCCGCTCGCGCCGTCCCCAGGGCCAGGCCCGGAAGCGGCGCCAGTCCTCGGACTCGTGCAGCGAGGAGCCCGACAGCACCACCCCGCCGGCCAAGTCCCCCCGGGGCGCCCCGGGGGCCGCGGAGCCGAGCCCGGTGCTGGGCCTGCGGGTGGAGGGCGGCGCGCAGCAGTGCCTCGACTGCGGGCTGTGCTTCGCCTCCCCGGGCTCCCTGAGCCGCCACCGCTTCATCAGCCACAAGAAGCGCCGGGGCGCGGGCGGCGCGGCCCTGCGGGGCCTGGCGGACGCCGAGGAGGAGGGCGCTGCTCCCGCGCGGTCCGACCCCGAGGGCGGGGACTCGCCCCTGGCCGCCCCGGGGGGCCCGCTGACCTGCAAGGTCTGCGGCAAGAGCTGCGACAGCCCCCTCAACCTGAAGACCCACTTCCGCACGCACGGCATGGCCTTCATCAGGGCCCGGCAGGGGGGCGCCGGGGACAGCTAGGCCGGACCCGGGCCTCGGACCCGGGCCCCGCCGCAGGCCTCTGCCGCCCCCGCCCCCACGCCGGGCCCCATGCCTCCCACCGAGCCCAACACTAATGACCCTCCTGCGCCGCCCGGCTTCCCGACCCCGCCGACCGACCCCAGGCTGGGACGGGCCCGGACAGGGCGTTCGCGAGCCCGCTGACGGCCAGGGGGGGCCCGGCCAGGGACGGGCCCCCCATCCCTGCAGCACGGCCCCCCAGCCCCCAGCACTCAAGCCCCTCGCCCCTGCAGTGCCTTTTACTTGTGTTTATTTTTCTCCCCCAGAGACCCCAGGGGGCGGGGTGGTGGCGGTGAGGCCCTTCGGGGGTTCGGGAACCAAGGGGACACAGGGTCTCAGGAATTCCGGGAGGGGGACGCGGAGGGAGGGAGCCAGACCATTAAAATGCTCGTGGTTTAAGCCCGCCAGGCTCCTGTTTGTCACTGGGTAGCATGGACGCAGACGGGGAGACCCTCAGGGAAGGTGGCCCTCGCCCCCATCCCCCCAAATTCAGTCGTGGCACAGGTTTGGCTAACTAAGGACTTTATTTCAAACAAAAGTTAAAAATAAAAAACAGAGCTATTCCCTGGGGGATCAGGGCAAGGAGCTCCCCATGGCTAGGCCGGTCCCTGTGGGGAGGGTCTGGTGGTCCCTTCCTGGCCCTGTGCTGGGGGTGGCCGAGCCCACCTTCCCACCTGCCGAGGGGCGTTCGGGTGCGGTCAGTCCCCTCGCGGGGACAGTCGGGCAGCAGCGTGGCCAGAGGCCTACCACAGGCTGAGTCCTCAGTACCAGAACCAACCCCTTCCCGCCGTGGACCCAGACAGCTACGGGGGTGGCCTGTGGGAAGGCTTAGGCTCTGGCGTCTCTGGCGTCCCCCCGGTTCTCCGGACAGCGAGTGGGGAGTCCCAGGTCTCCGGTGGGAATGCTGCCGGGCCAGGGCGCCTGGCGGGTCTGCACCCCGTGGCCGGCTCTCCCACCCCGGCGAGCTCCGCAGTTACCACATGATCCTTCGTACTTCTCGCCTGGCGTTTCCCTTGGGTGGATGGGCGGGCGGGCGGCGGGTGGGGTTTGTCTGACCAAGGTCCCTGCTCAGGGGCGGGGGCGGCCGTCACATGATGCCGTTGGTGAGGTACTGGAAGCCGTCGTAGAGCTTGGTGGTGATGGAGCGCATGCTCCCGTCCACCATCTGCTCCACCAGCAGCTGCAGCTGCTCCTCCGTCATGCTCATGTGGAAGCGCTCCTTGAGGTGGCGGATGGTGCTCGAGCCGTGGAAGCAAGGGAGCTGCGAACCTGGGGGCAGCGCGGCAGAGGTCACGGGCGGAAAGGGGGCGGGGGCCACTAGCTGCGGGAGCACGGGGGAGCTCAAGAGCCCCGCCCCCGCCCCCCGGAGACCCTGGCGGCGTGGGTGCAGTCTGTGGGGCCGATGGCCGGGGCGGGGGGCCCTGTCCTGCACCTGCGGGGGGAGGCTGGCGAGGCCCTAGGGACAGGCCCTGGCGGGCACTTATCTGATGGCAGGCCTCTGCCTGCGCTACGTCTGACACTCACAGATGACCTGGGCCACCGTCATCACGGGGCCAGACGGGGGCGCTCCTGAGCAACAGCGACAACCTGTGGTGAGGGCGGGGACGGGAGGAGGAGGGGGGTGACCCAGGTGAGCGCAGACTGCGCGGGGCAGAGGAGTGAGAGATGGACCGCTTGGTGGAGAAGGGGCCGAGGCGGACCCAGGCAAGAGCACTCAGCTGGTCACGGCTGGACACACTCGAGGAGGGCGAGGAGGACAGAGCTCTCCCCAGACGGCTGGCTGCCTCGCGTGCCCCACCCACTCGGTCCCCTGGGACAAACCAGACACCAGACTGGAGAGGAGTCCTCCGGGGTGTCCCATCCCCTGCTGGACGTGGACGTTCCAGCAGCGGGGGCCACGCCTGCTCCGGGACGCGGCCCCAGTGCCCACCTTGCTGCATGATCTCCACAATCTGCACGACCTTGTCCATGTGCTTGCGGGCCGCGATCAGACCCTGCAGCATCAGCATCTTGTAATAGTTGAACATGTCGCCGTCCAGGCCGCCCATCACCTGGGAAAGGGACACGCCCGTGTGGGGCTCTGGACGTGCCAACTCTGCCATCTCCCCACTCTCCGGAGGAAGCCCCAGAAACCCAGCCTGCCTGCATGCCGTCCCTGTCAGCTCTCTCCCACTCAAAAAGCACACAGTGAGGCAGCTCCTTCCCGACTCACGTCCACGAACTCTGTGGTCAGCTTAAAGGCTGATGTCTCGAAGCCCAGGTTTCGGGGTGAGCTGGAGAGGATGAAGCCAAAGTCGATGTGGATGATGTGGCCTTCCGCGTCCAAAAGGATGTTCCCGTTGTGTCTGAGGGACAGAAGAGGCAGCTGTCTGACAGGCGGGACACCGGGCTGTGGGCCCTGCCTCCTGCCCTGTTCACTGTGTCCAACCTCCCAGGGCCTCCGGCTCACCTTGGGAAGGAAGGTAACTGGGAAAGAATATGGCTGACGGCACAGATGGGGACTGAGTCTTGTCAGAACAACTTAAAAACAAGAGTCTCCCAGTTCCCCCACATGACCCGGGGCCCACAGGGGTGCAGCCAGCAACAAGGCGGGGTGAACGGTCCATGCCAGCCTGATGCATGGGTTTCTGTCCTGAGTCCTGCTGATGGCTGGTCCCTGGGGGTGGGGGCAACCACCAGAGAGGCCAGCAGGTGAAGTTTCAGTGTGATCTAATGGGGTCCACTGGGTCAGCAGAACCACTAAAAACACCTGGGGCGGGGGGGAGGGCAATGGCATCGGGGGAGCAGCAGGAAAAGGTAAAGGAGATGGAGCCCAGGCTTCTGCAATTCTCAGGGAAGGGTCAGCAGGAGGATAGGAGGATGCGTGTCTGGCGCACGGGCAGCATCGATGGACACCCTCACTTGGCCAAAAGAAGGGGAGACAGGAGACGGGCACCTCAGCCAGATCCTCCCCCTCTGGGTGAGCAACACAGGCACAATCTGGAGGGCCAGGAAAGGTCGGGAGATGGCGCAGGTGTGGAGACGGCTCCGAGAACGCCGAGCGACAGGAACCCGAAGGTTCGAGAAGGGCAGCCCCGGCGTTTCGACTCCAGCAGCAAGGGAAGCCATGCGAGCCCACTGGCAGAGTGCTTCGACCACTTCTCTCCTGCGTTAGCAGCTGCCCGTGGGAGAACGGATCTGAATCTTCCTTGCATCCCGAGGGAAACGCCAGCTTCCCTCTTACCCACTGGCTCCACTTGGGGCTCAGTCTTGGGCTCTCTGAGCCCGGGTTCAAATCTTGCTTCTTCAGGGGTCTAAAATGCACACCCAGAGTCCTAACAGCTGACATTTCCTGCCGGCGCCTGAGTGACGCGTCTTCACTGGGGTTATCTGTGGGACCAAGTGCCAGTCCTGGAAGCTGTCCGACCCTGAGTTCTCTCACGCGCCGGGGCCAATCTGTCAGGGCTTTCATCTGCTTACAACAGACGAACACCGGGCCTTGGCAAGCAGGTGCCAAGGTGCTGCCCAGGACTGCCCGCGGCTGTGAGGGCCTGCTGCACGGGCGCTAACTGCCTCCCAGGACCGTGACCCTGCACTGCGAGGGGAGCTCTTGGGGCACGGACCCAGCAGGCTCCGTGGCGCAGTTCCTTGGGCACAACGTGCCGCTCTGCGATAGGCAAGTGGGGCTGGGGCTGTGAAGATCCTGTGCTACCGGGAGAGATGGCAACGAGGCGGGCGTTTCTGGAGCGCGGGGAGCAAGAGTTCCAACTCCGCCACACCTGATGTTACGACTTTCCTTTTTTGCGGGGAGGGTGCACCAGGCGGTGCTCAGGACTGCCTCCTGGCTCGCACTCAGAGCCCGTTCCTGGCAGAGTTACGGGCCCAGATGAGGTGCCGGGATCCGACCTGATGTACCGTCTCTTTGGCGCCCCCCCCCCCTGCTCACGGCACGCCTCAGGCTAGGCCTCCCTCCTCCTTGCTTTGCTGCTGGGGGTCACAGGCCCCCCTCACCGCAGTGCCACGGGGGTTGCTGCTAATCAGAGGCTGGCTCGCGTCTCTGCCTGAACACGAAACTTGTCAACCTGGTGATGGAGGTCCCTGGTCAGCCGCCTCCGGGGGCCTCATGCCGCCGGAAGACACCTCTGTTCTGAGGAACTAAGGTGGAGGGCCGCCGCGGAGGGCGGGGGTGCACCAACCTGTCCTTGACCTGCAGCAGGTAGCAGACCAAGCAGTAGCCAGCGCAGCTCTGCACGAAATTGCGCTGGGCACTGAGGAAGGCCTCGGTGGTGTAGCTGCCGTGTTCCTGCAGGAAGTAGTCGAGCAGGGAGAGCTGGGATTGCTTCTTCACCTGGTGGATCGACACCGCGTTCACCACCGGCTCGATCATGCCACTGTCCGCGGAGATCACCAGGATCTTGTAGGGCTTGATCCACAAGGGCACGCGCTCCTGCTCCCAGATGGACTGTGGGGGGACACGGAGCCCAGGGGCTGTCACCGACCGACCGGCAACGGAGGCCACGTTCCAGCTCCCAACCACACGCAGCTCCCTTCCCTGGTGGCCGTGGAAGACTCCGCCAAGGGACAACAGGCCCACAAGCACCAGGGAGCTCTGAAAGCTCAGGCTTGGCACGAGACAGCGGGACAGACGCACGGAGAGCCAGGCGGGGCCCAGGGGACGGGGGTCAAGGATGGAGAAAAGACCGAAAGAGGATTCTGACCCTGAAAGCTGCTTGACAGGGCAAAAATATTCCGTATAAATAAATGGGATTCGACAGGTGGGGGTCGGGGCCTGAGTATCTGCCCACCACAACCCACCTGCCACACAGACCATCAGAGCGTGGCGGACGCAGCTCACAAAAGGGCCACAAGGGGCCGCTGTGGGGCCACCCTTCGGGGCGGAAGCGGGGCTGAGCTCCGCCCTCCTCTCACCTGCAGCTGCTTTAACACCTGGAAGGCCAGCAGCTCCTGGCGCAGGTCATCCCCGCACTTGACGATGACTGACAGGAGTCGCCAGTTGGGGAGATGGCCGTAGGGGGAGCCCTCTCGGATCCTCCTGTGGGGGGAGAGAGGAATGAGCGGTGGGCTTCGCGGCAGGATGCCAGGCAGAGGCAGCTCCTCCTCGGGCCAGACCCCCTGGGCAAGGCCGCGGCCGGGGTGGAGGGTGGGGGGCTGCCGCCTCGAAGCACCGCCCAACTCACCGGACTTTTTCCTGCCAGGGCTCTTTCAGGGCGACTGCAGAGGGGTCTTCTGGGTCCCGCTTAAAGGCCGTGGGGGTGTGAGCCAGCTGCTCCGAAAGGCGCCGCCTAGCAGAGAGAAACACGGTTACCGCTCGGAGCACTTGGCCCGGAGCCACCCGACAAGGCCCTTCTGCCCCACAGACACTCCCGGGAGCAAACGGCACCGAAAGCTTCGTGCTGAACTCGCACTGGGCAAGCAGGTGGGTCGGGCAGGAGGCCCCGGATTTCCTCTACCAAGGCTCGACTACAAGCCCTCCTCCGACTCTCCTGCGCCCGAGGCTGCAGACCCCACTCCGAGAAGTGCTGCTCTGAGGCCTCCTTCCCTCTGGAGGCCCCCGGGGAGGCAGGGCCGGGAGGGCCAGCAGACAGCAGGCGGCAGGGGAGGAGCGCGGGCAGCGTGGCCTGGCCGTACCGAATGTCTCCAGCCGCGATGAAGACGGGCTCCTTGCTCTCCTGGCTGGTGATGCTGTCCACAGAGAACTGGGAGATGTTGTCGCAGCTGTTGGTGTGCATCTCCGGGAGCTGGGGACAGCGGGGCACGTCAGGGCGCCCAGAGCCTGCGGCTCCCCCGTCAGGACCCTCCTCCCCCCCACCGAACTCCACGCTCAAGACTTGCCCTGTCACTTGCACCCGCACCGCTGAGGCACCCCCAGCCCCGCCCCCCCCCCCCCGCCCAGCAGTGTGGGATTCGATCAGATGCACCTGCCACTGAAATGAACGAGAATCTCTGATTTTGAACTTGCTTTCTTTCGCTGTATCGGAGCTTGCATTATCTGTTTTATTTTAATTTTCGGAATCACTGTGAGATACAAAGGTGTTCACGACTGAGTTTCCATCATACAACGTTCAAGCACCATTCTCCTCATCAGCGCCCATGTACCTCCACCAGTGTTCCCAGTTTCCCTTCTGCACTCCTTCCTGCCTCTATGGTGGGTACTTTTTACCTCTAACGCACAGTGGTTTTGTAGTACTGTGACTGAGAGGGGACCATGCATGTCACCTCACCGCCTTTCAGCACCCAGTACTGGTGTGACGACTTTCCTTTCCGCTATTCCTGTCACAGTGGTTCCTTCTCTGACTTAACTGACCTTCCCCCCTTGTGGCAAACTTCCAACCAAGGGCCAGTCCAATGGGCCTTCCTTCCTATTGCCTTTGGGTATTATTCTTCTGTTTCTTTACATCCCATGAGTGAATGCAATCATTAAATGTCCGTTCAATACTCTTCATGTCCATCCAAGTATCAGCAAATGTCAGGACTTCGTTTTTTCCAGCTGTGTAGAGTTCCACTGCATAGATGTACCACATTTTATCTACTCCTCTGTTCTTGGACACTTGGGTTGTTTCCAGATTTGGGCTATCGTAATGAGCTATCTTTCTGGTGCTGCTAGTCTGGTGTTTTTAGGTTTTTTTTTTTTTTTGGGGGGGGGTACAATCAGTGGTGCTCAGGACTTACTCTTGTCTCTGTGCTCGGGGAACCCTATGTGGTGCCAGTGATGGGACTCAGGTTGGCCGCATGAAAGACAGCATACTAGTCCTCTGGCCCCAGGTGCCTCTTTTCAGCCTGAAAGTATGAACTTTTTTTTTTTTTTTTGCTTTTTGGGTCACACCCGGGGATGCACAGGAGTTATTCCTGACTCGTGCACTCAGGAATCACTCCTGGCGGTGCTCGGGGGACCATATGGGATGCTGGGAATCGAACCTGGGTCGGCTGCGTGCAAGGCAAACACCCTACCCGCTGTGCTATCGCTCCAGCCCCTGAAAGTATGAACTTTCAGCAAGTTCTCCACAAGATTCCTGAAGTCTCAAGTTCCTGCCACAGCCATCAAGGAAGTGGTGTTTGCAGCCTCAGACTGAGAGCGGCCCAGGTAGGACACACTCTCCCTCAGGGTCCAGAGCAGCTCCCTGACCATCCTTCTCTGCGTGCCAGGAAGACAGGGACTCATGGCTCGACCACTGAGCCACAAGCCTGGCCCGTTTCTCCAACACTTCTGTTTGCCTGGGTCTCGACAGCACGCCAGTGTGCTCAGGGCTTTCTCCAGGAACTCTTGGAACCACGTGAGTGTTGCCGACTGGACTGGGGTGCATCACGTGCAAGGGAAACGCCTTAACTAACCCTTAACCATCTCTCTGGCTCCATTCCTTCAATCCTGCTGCCCATCTCTACCTCTGAAACATCTTCCCAGGTCACAGAGCCATGTCAAGTCCTGTCTTTTCTCCTCTGTACCAGAACGTTTTGATTTGACCCCTCACTTTTTTTTTTTTTTTGGACCCATCACTTCTTAACTGCTAGAGCCTGTTACTGATCTTACTTTTTTTTTTTTTTTTTTTTGCTTAAATGCCTGTGTCCAAGGGCCAAGCATGTGTCTGTGTTGAAGCACACGGCTTGTACACAGCAGACTGGGTTTTATAATTATTATTAATTATGGGTCCTGGAGGAAACAGTGAGGTGGGCAGGAAGACCTCGCTAAGGCATGTGGAAGGCCCAGGTTCCACCCCAGCAGGCAGAGCCTGGTCCCCTGAGCACTGCCTGGTACGATGCCCTCACCAAAATTAAATGGGCCTCAACCTCCCTGACCGGACACTGAGCCCCAGGACAGCGTCCGGGTGTCACAGCTATAGAAGATCCTGTTTTCCCCTTAGAGTCTGAACACAGTCTGAGCGTCTCTCCACCGCGGCCGGCCGGGGCCGACCTCTCCAGCGCAGCCCTCAGCCTTGTCCCTTCTACCTGCACACCCCAGAAACACAAAACACAAAACTGCACCCAGAGCACCACGGTTAGGTCACTCACCACTCATCCTGCCTCCCCCGGCATCCCAGACGGTCACCCAAGCACCAAGCTAGGAGTCGTTCCTAAGCACTGCAGGACGGGGTCCAACCCTCCCCACCCCCAAAACCATCTCCAGCTCTTCCAATGGGGCGGCGCCACCTGGAGGACGGGCACCACACTGCAGCCACCTGCCCACAGGGCCTGCGCTGTCCTCTTCGTTCATCCACTTCTGCGGGCAGGGGCCGTATCTCATTCATGACACCTGGCACAAGGGCGGGCACAGCGACAGCTCCAAAATAACGATCGGGTGGAATGAATGAACAAATCAATTACCAAGCCCTGGTCTCCCAAGAGAGCAAACGTAGCACTTCTGGTTATGTCTCCGCCACCTGGACCTTGTCGTTTCCTTTTCACATTTCTGTATTTAGGCTTTTCTGCCACACCTGGCAGTGCTCAGGGCTACTTCCCAGCTCAGTGCTCGGGGGACCAGACTGTGCTGGGATCGAACCCAGGCCGGCCTCCTGTGCCAGCCTGTCGGCCATCTCTCTGGTCCTCCCGGCACTTCAGCGGGATTCGTCCTCCGAGGGGATAAGCTCTACCCGGCGCCATCCAGACCGCTTCTCACCGCTCACCTCCACCTGCAGCTCGCCAATGTCATCCACCGACCAGGCCTCATCGTCGTTGTCGTAGTTGGGCACGGTGCTGAAACTGCCGGCCCGCTGCTCATGGGTGATGCCACACTCCGGCAGGTTCTCCACAGACCGCGTACTCCGGATGCGGTTCTCGGGGATCCGCGCGGGCACGTTGGTGGTGTCGAAATTTTCACATTCAAGGACTTCCACGTAGATCAGGTAAGGGGCCTACAAGGAAGACACGGACACTATTAGTCACTGACCTCTGGCCCCGAATCTCAACCCTGTTCATACGTGACTTTTTTTTTTTTTTGCTTTTTGGGTCACACCCAGCGATGCACAGGGGTTACTCCTGGCTCTGCACTCAGGAATTAACTCCTGGCAGCGCTCAGGGGACCATATGGGATGCTGGGAATTGAACCCGGGTCGGCTGCGTGCAAGGCAAACGCCCTCCCCGCTGTGCTGTCGCTCCAGCTCCCTACGTGAGTGACTTCTTTATGCTCACGTGAGGAAAGCCATGCTCGGGGCAGGGACTCCGCCTATGAACACCCAAAATAAATAATCAGCATGACAGAAGGCACACGTCTTCAGAACACTGACAGCTGTGCTTCAAAAGATACAGGGGATGTCTTCGGGCTCCAATTTCTGAATCCTAACCTAGAAGACGCAGGGGGGTCTCTGGACCTGCCCAGAGGGCAGGCGTGGGGCCAGGGATAGCTGGGCATGGTCCCACGTGTGGCTCTTGCCTTGGTACTCTGGAAGGAAGGACCGAACCCCTTCCATGCCTTCCCAGCCAGCTGCCCTTCCCCGAGGGGCAGTCTCTTTCTCTCCTTCCCTGGCCCACTCGGACCCACTCTGAAAGGGCCCGTCCATCACATCCTTCCCTTCCCGGTTGCCGTGCATGTCCCCACGGGCCGAAGAGCCAGCAGAAGCAGACAGAGGTGTCTGAGATATGCACGCGGGAAGCTGGTTCACGGGGCCCGAGAGGGGGACCAATGCAGAGTCCCAACGGGCTGGGCCCAGATGTGCTGCCTACGACGGGGCCCCGCGCCTAACCCGGCGGCTGGGGGGCACAGCACACAGGGTCAGGGCTGTGGCTGGGCCTCCTACCTTGTCCTTGGAGTTGAGGACGACGGCTTGGGTGTGGGGCACGCGGACCACGTGGTGGTCGAAGGCCGCCGTGGGCAGCCAGACTCGGGCGGGCAGCTTATGGTTGAGCAGGGAGAGCTCGGAGATGAGCCGCTGTGTCTTCTGTTCCTTGGTGGGGAGGGTGGCCAGCCGCTTGCCGATGGCCATCAGGGACTTGATGAATTCTCGCTCGGGCGCCAGTCGGATGGGCTGCAGGGATCGAGATGGAAAGAGAGACAGTGAAGCAACCACAGGGGAAAAGGCACGCGCCCCGCACTCGGTCCTGCTTGGAGGCCAGGAGTCCCACGTCCACGAGGCTCCGGGACGGACCCTCGCCCGCGCCCGCCAGCTGGACTGGGGTCTTAGAAGGCAGCACGATACTTCTCCAGGCAAACTGCCCTTTTCTCCTGGAGAGCCGCCCAAGGCCTCGAGGAGGTGAGGGACGACTCCCAGCCACTGCAGTGTCCCAAAGCAAGCAGCAGGGCAGCTCAGCCTCCTCAATGACCCGGCGGGGCCGAGACCCCGGTTCACCCATCAGAAGGCGACTGTGGCCTCCACCCCACGCCCCCCCGGGGTCCTCTACTCGAGCTCAGGCACATGCTGGGGGGGGAGGAGGAGCAGCCTCAGGATTCATGAGGGAACAACCAACTCAACGGGGAGAGAAAAAGCAGATGGAGGGGGGGAGGGACGGGGGTGAAGGATGCAGGAGCCTCTCTCAGCCCTGGCGACGGCTGCACGGGCCTGCTGCCTCCCAGGGCTGCCTCGGCCCACCTCTCAGGGATACGGTCCCCAGGTTACTCCTCGCCGGGTGCTCTAACCCCTCACAGAAAGGGCAAAGTCAGCTGGGGAACGAGCTGGGGGTGTGGGGAAAAATGGACTCCGCCAGATGGAAAGAAAAGGAGGGGTCTCTTCTTCCAGCCTCAGTCATTCTACCCAAGGGGGGGTTCTGCCAACCTCGCCCCCAGCTCCCTTCAGCTAGGTAAGAACAGTACCTCCCCTCTTGGTTGATTTGTTCTGCTTTGGGCCACACCCGGCAACGCTCAGGGCTGACTCCTGGCTCTGTGCTCAGGGGAAACTCCTGGAAGCCTCCGGGGACCCTATCGGGTGCTGGGGATCAAACCCAAGCTGGCTGAGGGCAGGAAAGAGCCCCACGCACTCCACTGCTCCCTCCCAGCCGCCTCCGAGTTGCAACAGCTCCTCCCTCACCACTCTCTCCCTCCCTCCCTCCCTCCCTCCCTCCCTCCCTCCCTCCCTCCCTCCCTCCCTCCCTCCCCATGTCTTATTAAGTTTCCTGATGGAGCAATTTTTAGGGGTTTGGTTTTGTTTTAGCCTTTTCGGTCACACCCGGCGATGCTCAGTGGTTATTCCTGGTTCCGCACCCAGGAATTACTCCTGGCACTGCTCGGGGGTCACATGGGACGCCGGAGATCAGACCTGGGTCGGCCGGCCGCGTGCAAGGCAAATGTCCTCCCTGCTGTGCTATCCCTGATGGACAGTCCCTGATGGAGCATTTCTACCTTCACCCCCCTCCCCCCTGCAAAGACCGAGCTTCCTGGGAAACCTGGGATTGTGTGTCCTGCTTCTTCATGTGCTACAGACTGGGGTTCAAAGGACAACTCGCTGTTCCGCCTCAGCCCTGGGGGCGCAGGCCCAGGGGCGCCCACAATCAAGCAGTAAGGATATAAATCAGTTGGGAGAGCTTTGGGGGGCAGGACTGAAAGGAGATACAGGGAGACACCTGGACTCGAATTCTGGCGTCCGGAAAAGAGCCCAGGGGCCTGCTAGAGGAAGAGAGGAGAACTTAGAGGCTCCATTCTTCAACTTGAGCCCCAAATGCACCCGCTGGGGCGGCCAACGGTCACTGCTGCTAGACCCCTCGCCCCACTCCATCTCAGCAGATGGGTCGGGGCCCCCTGAGTGACACGGGCACATTGGGAAAGTGACCTGGGCCATCAAGAAAGGTTCTGCCACACGGGAGGAGACGAGACAGGAATCGTGACTGGAAGGGGATCAGCACAGAACAAAGGAAACGGATTGGGGAGACGGGGGGAAGAGGGGGGTAGGAAAATCATCTACACTCCCAGAGGGTCCGGCATTTCCTCTCACGTCCCTGCCCAGAGTCAAGGTCCGGTGACCGCTGCACCAGACGGTCCGGGGGCCAGGGGGTAGATCCAAGGGCGTTTGAAAGGAGAACGAGGGTTAAGAAATGGCCCGGGCTAAGGGCCGCAAGCCGGGAAAAAGGGCAGAGCTCAGACCTGGAAGGAAGAGGTCAAGTTAAAAGGGAAAACGGGCTGGGGGAGCTCAGATTGTCCTGTGGCCAAATCCTGTTTGCTCATGGAACAAGCAGACCCGGCAATGCCAGCGCTTAGATGGCACTGAATAAATATTTGATGGTCTGAGGGCAGAAGCCATGGGGAAGGGGGGTGGGGGTGCAGCGGGAAAGAGGACCCTGGGGGCTTCTGCCAAGTGGTTCCTGGCTCCAATCCGGGGGCAATTCTACCTCTCCCCGCTGCTGGCTGCGGAGACCCAGAACCTGGGGGCTGCACCACACCCCAGGAGAGGGTAAACTGAGCCCGGGTTGGCCTGCGCATGATGCGGGGGCTTTAAGGGAGGGGGCATGGCCCTCCGGGAAGAAAGGGCACCTGGGAGCCCTGAAGACCTGGGGACGGAGAGGAAACGTGGCCGTGGGGGTAGCCTGCCCCCCTCCCGCGCCCCCCTTGTCCCAGCCTGGCCCCACTTACGGAACTGAATGAATTAACACTCTCGGTGCTGGAGGAGAGCTCCTGGGAAGGGCAGAGGGCGGGGAGGGGAAGAGACAAAGGGAAAGAATTTAGCTCCGACCTGGACCACAACGGCCGCCGTCTGCCCAACGTCCCTGCCCGTGTGCGGGAGGCAGCGGGCAGCCAGCTCTGGCCTCAAGGCCAGAGGCCGAGGAGATGCACTTCCTTTCACTGCAGTGTGGACCGCTTCCGGCTAGGGCCCTGCCCGGGGGCGGCCTCCACGGGGTGCTTCCCTGCTCTCTTCAGCTCCACTTCCGCTCCCAAACAAGCAAGCGCCCCCCTGCAGAGACGGGCCTCACCAAACAAGCTGCAGAGCCCCCATGCTGGAAAACCCGCGTGGCCCCAGGAAGGGGGGGGGGGAGAGAGACGGCTTCACGGGCGCCACAGTGCACTCTGCCTGCTTGCTGGAGGCCCGGGTCCCACCCCCAGAACCGTGGGATCCCCTGAGCACTGCCAGGCGCGAACACGGAGCTGGGAGTAGTTCTGGGGGGGGGGGGGCGGTGTGCGCACGCGCCCACGCAACCATCGGCGGCATGTCCGCTCGAGTGGCCTTGTAACTAATGCTGGCCTGCCTCCATGTGCCCAGGCTCCCCAGCCCTGCGCCAGGTCCAGGGACAGGGGCAGAAAGTCGCCTCCTATACACCCAGGCCCCGCGGGCACCTGGCCATTTTGTGCGACACGCACGCAAGTGTCAGGGAAGTTCGGATCTCCTGCCATGGGTGGGAGTGAGTGGCGGCTCCCGCCGGAGTCAGAGGGGGAAAGGGCTGGAGCCTCTGAGGAGGGGAGGGACAGGACGAAGGAGGGGAGGGACAGGATGAGTTTGGAGACAAAGTCCTGGGAGCTCCCGGGGCAGAGGGCGGCAAGCGCGGCCACGTTCCTGATGGGACTCAAGGGCACAGTTAAGTCTGGCTCACGGGGGGAGGGGGCCCTCCTGGCGGCACCGCGGCTGGGGGTGTCCCCAGGGGCCGAGGCTGGGTTCAGCGTTCTCCAGAGGCAAACACTGCTTCAGTTTCGGATGGAGCTGGCAGAACTGAGGCCTGGAGATGCCTGGGGGTTTCGTGTCTCCTGGGGAGCTGGGCGTGGAAGGACGAGCGGGCCGGAAACTGGCACTGGGAGCACCCGCAGCTGATAACCCCAGACAGGTTCTGTCTGAGTCAGCAGGGTGTGCAGCCCGGCCCACTCCTCTCTCCCACTGGAACCTGACTCACTCCACTGAGTCAGCTCCAAGGAACAGCTCGCAGACCAAAATGCTGACATCACCCCAGGGGCCTGGCTGAGCTGTGGCAGGGCTCCCTGTACAAAGGTCGCAGCAGCCAAAGTCCATCTGGGGGGCAGGAGGCACGGGGCAGTGGGGGTGGGAGAACCACTAGCGCGCGTGCACACACACTCACACACACACACACACACACACACACACACACACACACACACACACAACACCCCCACCCCCCAGCTCTCCCTCTGCCCAGTTACCATTTGGTTACAAACAGGAAGGAACACGGAGCTGGTTCCTTAGCTGGCAGATCAAAAACTGCTCAAACGGGGCCGGCGTGACAGAACAGTGCAGAGAGGGCACCTGCCTTGACACGGCTGACCCGAGGTCCCGGCAACCCACCCGGGCCCCTGAGCCCTGCCAGGAGTAACCTTCGGGCACCACCAGGTGTGGCCCACAAACCAACCAACAAAGAGAAACTGCTCTCTGGGGCAGGCTGCAGGGTGGAAGAGGCTGGTGGGTGCCTGGGTGCCGGGGCTGAACATGAGAGTTCCACAAAAGACGCAGAACCCTTGGGGAGGTCTGGCGGACCCCCGCAGCCAGTGCAGTGCAAGCAGCCCCACGGCCTGTTCCGGGGCCTCTCCCAGAGCTCCTGGGCTGTGGGAGAAACGGTGCGCCCCTCGGAATCCTTTGGAACGCCAGGTCAGGAAGCAGGCTCCAACAGGCCCTTCCCGAGACGCTGCTCACTGTGTGACTGAGGGTGCTGGGAACAGGACCCCTCTCCTAATGTGCAGGGAACAGCTTTCCAAGAGCCACAAACTACCAGAAATCCAACAGAAGTCCTAAGTTCCTTTCCTTTTTTTTTGGGGGGGGGGCTGGACACATCATGGTGCTTTTCTTGAACCTGTGTCCAGCAGTGACCCCTGGTAGTGCTCAGGGGACTGACTATACACGGTGCTGGGGATCAAAAGCTTCTTAGCTATTGCAAACTAGGCAAGTCTTCACTGCCTGCGCTCGCTCTAGCTCTCTCTCTCTCTCTCTCTCTCTCTCTCTCTCTCTCTCTCTCTCTTATCCCGGACTACACAGAGCAAAGGATCTCTCCCAGCTTGACGCTCGGGGGGACCAGGAACCAAACCTGCATCTTCCACATGCAACGTATGCACTCAGCCCTTTAAACTGCTTCTCTGGCCCAGAACAAATAAATTCGCTACCGTTTCAGGGCACTGAATCAAGAGTCACAAACCAAACAGGTCCCTAGTTAACAGTTTCCAAATTACTCCAGAAGGGCTGGGGCGAAAGCACAGCGGGGAGGGCGCCTGCCTTGCACGCGGCCCACCAGGGCGTGATCCCTGGCATCCACATGGCTCCCTGAGCTTGGCAGGTGTCATCCCCGCGCACAAAGCTGGACATGGGGCCCGAACCAAGAACAGTAACAAACCAGAAACTCAAATGACCTCAGAAGACCCAGAACTCTACCCTCCGTGCTCGGCTTCCTCACCCCCTCCATCTCCATCCTCACCCCACCCCCCTCCGTCTGATCCGACAACTAGCTGTGGACGGAATGAATATTCATGGCTGGGACCAGGAGAGCCAGTTGGTACCGGCACTGGGAGGGCAAGGGCCCCGAGAGAGCGGGGAGAACCTGTGCGCCCTTATCCTGTCCTCTTCACGAGGGGCCAGGGGATTCCAGTGCCCTGCTGGCAGTGCCCCCCATTCCCGCCCCCACCCCCAGCCGACCTGCCTCCACTTCCTGCTCGCCACCTTCGTTACCTGAGGAATGCTGACCCTGGAGTGCCCTGCCAGAAAGGCCTGGGAGCTATCACTCAGTGTGCCGGGCACAAATACAGTGCATGTGTGTGTGTGTGTGTGTGTGTGTGTGTGTGTGCGTGCACGCGTGTAGGGGGCGATGGCTTGCGCCAGACCTGGCAGTGGTCAGGACTGATTCCAGCTCTTTCCTCAGCACCCCTGGGGTGCTGGCTGGCGGGGAGCCCTGTTGGGGTATTTAGGATCAAATCCAGGTCGGCCACATGCCAGGCAAGCACCTGCCCAGCTGCGCCCTCGCTCTGGCCCCTGAGCTGAGTCTGCTGCCACGCATGCATTCAGATGCCTTCCCTGTTGCCAGGCTTCCCACAACCTCCACGTTCGGCTTCCCCAGTGGGAGCAGCCAGGCCCGGGCTGGTTCCCACACTGCGAACGTGGATCTCGGGCGCTCGGAGGCCCGGCCTGCTGCAAGACCAGAGACCGGGGCCGGAAAGCCCGGGGGCGCAGCTCTGCTGCTCCAGATCGGCAAGTCTGACAGGAGGCCCCATGAGTCACTCGGCTCCTACAGGGAGCACCCCAGACCTTCACCCGGATGAGCCTGACTCTTCCCGCTCTTCCTCCCGCATGGACCCCGATGGGCGGGGAGGTCGGCGCTGCACCCTGCCCACTGAGACCCCTCGCGTGGATCACCTCCTGGCTCTAGGCCCGTTTGCTGGTGAGAGACGCGGGTCCGGGAGTAATGTCAAGCGGCGGGCCGGGCCGCCGCACAGTGTTGGGTGAGTGTCGCTGGCTCCCTGCACCTCATTCTGACCAAGTTCCCACAGCCAAACCTTGACCGTACGGACGGAGCGGACACGGCAGTCCCCCTCCCTCCTGTCACTGTAACCTCCTGCTTCAAAGTACTATTGTATCAAAGACGTGGGTGGGGGCCGGGCCAGCGCCCATGCCAGGAGCAGATGCCAATGTCATGACTATCCACATTTCCAACACGTGCGGATTCCTTGTTCTTTCCTCCCTTCTTCCCAAGGCTGGGCTGACGGCCAGGCAGGCAGGGAAACTAGGTTGACAGTTGGGTCATCCACTGGGCCACCTGCTCTCAGTGGACATGTGGGCCAAAGGGCGGGGACATGCTACCTAAGGTCAGTACATCAGACAGAGGCATCCGTGGCGGGCAGATGCCTCTTCTTCGGAGCCTTCGTGTCTCTGCCAAACCGGGCATGCATGCGACCTACTGAGTCCCTTTTCCTCGGTGCTTCTCCCAAACCATCTCCCTGGCCCTGAGATGGCCCACCCCCCCAGGGCAAGCTGGGCAGGGAGCATTCTGCGGGCGCCTCGGGAACAGGGAATGAAATGGACCCTCTGGCAAGACAAAGTAGGATCTGCAGGGAGTCGGGGACAAGGGAGGAGCGGCCTGGCCCATGGCGCTACCGGAGGCTGGCTTTAGCGTCTCTCCTCCCCAGCACAGAACAGTCTCTTTTCCTCGCCTGCACCTGCTGCTCTGAACAGAAGAGCTGCCGTGGAGGGAGGACGCACTCTGGGACGGTCAGGCGTTCTCAACCCTGCTCTGAGCTGCGTGCTGGGGCAGATCCCTTTCTCCCCCTGTCTCCAAGTCCTTCCTTCGTAAGAGGAGGCGGCCTGTTGAGGAACACAGGCCTTCTGATGTCTTTCCCGGCCCGACATCCCGGGTGTTTGTCGGTGAAATGGAACAGAGGGAGGGAAGGAGAGAAAAGGACGGCGTAGCCCCGGGTCGCACGCTCCTGCCCCGGCGCCACCGGCCTCTTACCTCGTCCTCGTTCTCCACCTTCGGGTTGCTGGCCGTCCGCTTGAGGCTGCTGCTGAGGCTGATGCTGGCGGTGGCGTCGGACTTGGAGCGCTGATGAGTCCGTTTGGAGGGAGACAGCCCCGCGTTCAGGGCCGGGCTCAGGGAGGGCAGCTCCCGCTTCCGGTGGGCGGGCTTCAGCTCGTCCGAGAGGATCAGCTTCCGCAGCTTGGTCCCGCGGGAGTGCCGCTGCGTGGAGATGTGCATGTCCGAAGAGTAGGCCCCGAGCAGCAGGGCGCACTGGAGGGAGAAGTTGATGCTCTGGCGGCAGCGGTGGACGATGTAGGGCTTGATGGCGTCACCCACGTCCTCGTCCATGTGGATGTACATGTTCAGCAGCTGGGGCAGGTAGAAGTCCACGTCCTCGTTCCGAAAGCAGAAAAGCCGGTTGCCGATGTAGGCCTGCACCCCGGGCTCCTTGGAGTTATACAGGTACGAAATAGCCATGGAGATGTCGAAGAGCTTGGACTCAAACAGTCTTAGCAGCCACGACTGCTTGGCGGAGTTGTTCTGCCGCCGCCGCCGGGCGCCCTTGGCTGTGCCCGAGGCCACCGTGGCCCCCACCTCGTCGTCGTCGTCGTCTTCTTCCCGGATCTGGGCGGGGGGGTCATCCAGGCAGCGGATCTCCGCGTCCACACCGTCTCCGTTGACCAGCTCCAGGGCCGCGCCTCCTCTGGACACGGCCACGGCTCCATGCAACAGCCGGACTTTCTCCAGCACCTCCTGGCAGGCCTTCTGGGCCACCTCGGGGTCGATCACCGAGAGTTCCCCGACCCCCTCCGTGATGACGCTCAGCAAGGAGCCCCCATTATTCCCGGGTGGGCCAGGAGTGGGCTCAGAAGCTGGCTTCAGTGGGGCCGGCTCCACGGCTGTGTCCCCCATGGCCACAGCCAGGTGTCCAGCTTCCAAGCTACTGGAGGGAGGAGGGGAGAGAAAGGGAGACAGACACACGGGTTAGTGGTGCCGACCTCACACCCTCCCCGGGCCCCGGGGCCTTCCCAGCCCCAGTCGCTTCCTCTGCTGCCATCCTGGCCTCTTTCAGAATCGGACCAAAAGCGATTTCTGCCCAGGAAGCTTTCCTCAACTATCTCCACTTCTGATCACTATCTGACTCTTCATTCCTTTTACATTCAGTGACTCGGCTTACTTAGCCTCTGTTCCACTTTGTGTTTGTAATTTTTATTTTAACACGCTTGGCCTAGGCTTACAGATTCTTCAGGTGGACGGGAAGCAATTCTGGTCCTTTGGCCCTAATTCTTCAAATGCTTTTCTGTTTTGGGTGCTCCTTACAGTTCTTTGTTTTGGCTTCGTTTGTTTTGGTTCTCTGGCCACACCCAGCAGGGTGCAGGCTCTGCACTCAAAGATCACTCCTGGCAGACTCATGGGGCCCTACGGGGTGCCAGGGACTGAACCTGGGTTGGCTACCTGCAAGGCAAACGCCTTACCCGCTGTACTCCTCACTGCTCTGGCCCCTTTAAACTGTATATTTCAAATGCACACACAGGTCCAATTACCTTACCGTTGTTTAGTATTAAAGTCTTGCTATATTTTTATGCTTAGAAATTCATTCATTCTTTCTTCCTCACATTATTGAATCACTGTGAAATAGACCCCCTACAACGCTGTCAGAATTAGCTTTCAGTCGTACAGTGTTCCATCCAACACCCATCCCTCCACCAGTGTACAATTTCCCAGCACCAGTGTCCCCGGGTTCTTTCCCATCCCCTTCATCCCACACCCCCCAGCCTGCCTCTACGGGAGGCGCTTTTCTTCTCTGTCTCTTTCCCTTAGAAATACTTTCTTACCTTGCCTTTTATACTCAAAGTTCCAAGGATTAAGGAAATCCCAGAAAATCATGCCAACGTCCACTTAGAGCAACGCAGCTCTAAGGAGGCCAGCACCATCAACCCCAATGACACTGGGCACTACTCTCCTGTATGACGTCATGACTTCATTCCCTCTTTCTCCAGTGCAATGGAAACTGAAGCCCAGGGGAAGCAGCTCTGGACATGAAATCAAACACGTGGGCTTCACAATCCTGGCTCTGCCATTATGTCATGGGAACATTTACGCAAGCAACGTAGCTTCTGAGTTTCCGTTTCCTCCACTACAGAATGGGAAAAAACATCACTTCTCCTTGCTGCTATACATATAAATAGATTCACGTGTGTAAAAATGATGGATCCCCGGCACGAAGCAGCAGTCAGTAAATGCTAGTTGAGTCCCAAGCACCTATGCTAGTGAACAGCGTGTGCCTGCATAAACACGGGAAGGAAACCACCGTCAACACTCCCTGCTTGAGTCTTCAAAAGCACTTACAGCAGCCCCGTCTGTACTAACCTGACCTTCCCCACTACCACACACACTCCAAGAATTAGAGAGACTCTCAGCAGAAAAAAAAAGCTAGAACCATGAGTCCCGCCTGTCCCAAAAGCAGGGAGCAGAATCCCAGAATCCAAGCCCCTCCGTGGAGGTGATCGCAGAAAGAAACGCCGCCGACAAAACCTCCCGCCCTCCTAGGATGATGCTGCAGAGTGCCATCGCGTTCACAACGGCAGCATCGGTGCAGAATAGGAGGAACTTCCACAGCGGGGATGGGGGTGAGGGGTCGGCGGGGGCACACTGTGGCTCTGCTGTTGCTGGTGGCATCGGGAAGGACTGGTACCTGGGAACCACCCGGAGGCCTTGCGCGTACACATGCTCACCACTTAAGGCACTTCCCCAGGGCCCCACGAAAGGCACGCTGTTAGTGCCGGATCAGCCCTGAAGCGTCTGCTCTAGGCAGAAAAGAGGCCTGCTCGAAAAACGCAAGTCAAGGATCCAAGCCAGAGGAAAGCGATGGCACTGCCGAGTGGACCTTGCTCATCCCTAACTATCGGTGGCATTTCTTTTTTTCTTTTTTTTTGGCTTTTTGGGTCACACCCGGCGATGCACAGGGGTTCCTCCAGGCTCAGGAATTACCCCTGGCAATGCTCAGGGGACCATATGGGATGCTGGGAATCGAACCCAGGTTGGCGGCGTGCAAGGCAAACGCCCTCCCCGCTGTGCTATTGCTCCAGCCCCGGTGGCATTTCTTCTGTCCCCCGTGAACTTGAGTGAGATGTACTCTGGGTGGGTACAAGGAGGTCTGAGATGCAGATCTGGTAATCACCAGCGAAGCTGCCGATTCTACCACCACCCTCTCAGTGCCTCTGGCGCCCTAAAATGTGAAAAGTCAAGGCTACTCTGATCGGGCCAATCTTAAGCAGTCCCTCTCCCTGCCCCCAGACACACCTCGAGAGAAAGACGCGTGGAAACGGCTCCTGTTCTCAGAGATGGCCAAAAAAGGTCCTTCTGTTTATTTTTCTCCTCACTTTGTCCAAGAAGAAGTTCCTCCCCGAACTGGATTTCTGAAGCTGCCGGGACCTCGGTCAGTAAGAAGGGGCAATTCTTCCGTCATGCTCTTTCCCCAGAGCAGGAGGTGCCCCCCGAGCGACAGAACCAGTAGGGCCACCTGCATGGATCCGTCTCTACTCGCAAATAATAATTCCGTGGGCTGCACAGAATAAGGAGCCTCCAACCATCCCCCCCACATGGCAGCAGGCACCCTGCGCCCAAGGGTCACCCTGTACAGGTGACATCACTACCACTGGTGTCTGCCTGGAAAAGCTGACCAAAGGCGCGCCAATACTTTTTTTCCTCTTTCTCGATCTTTCTGTGTTTGGCACGTGTCCCCCTTTTCCTATACTGCACATGCTGCCAAGTCACCAAAAGACCCCAAAAGTCTTTTTCTTCCAAGGTGTTCTCACACAGACCACCTCAGACCTCCCTAGAAATTTTAATTTATTTTGCTTTGGGGGCCATACCCAGCAGTGCTCACAGGGCAACTCCTGGCTCTGCACTCAGAAATTATTCCTGCAGTGCTCAGGGGACCATAAGGGATGCTGGGGATAAGTAGGAGGTGAACTTGGCTGGATCGGTTGCGTGCAGGGTTAAGTACCTTATCCACTGTACTATCACTTTGGCCCCTAATTTTTATTTTTAGCTTTTTTTTTCTTTTTGGTGTCAGGGGAGTAACACCCTATTTTACTCAGGAAAAACATCACTGATTCTACACTCAGGGATCACTCCTGGCTGGGTCTGCTGGGGGGGCCATATGGGTTGAACATGGGTTGGCTTGCATGCAAGACAAATGCCCTATCTTCTATACTTTCGCTCTGGCTCTGCCTCCCTAGAAAATCTAGCAGATACTTGTGGCAACGGATCACAACCAGAATGATTAATGGCAACAGGAAGGGAGGTAAGGGCACCGTCATTCCTAGATAGGAATCTAGATCACAGTATTCAGAGAACTTTCCCACTGGGCAGATTCCCGAATCTGGCAGCCTGCACATAAGGAAATGGACGAGATCAAGAGGTGACGAGAACCAGGCCCCTCTCCCCTTATAAATGACCACACTGAGTTTGAGAAATGTTACAGCGGCGAAGGCCCTGGCCATATGGTCCCCCAAGCCCTGCCAGAAGTGATACCTGAGAACAGAGCCAGGAGGAAACCCTGAGCACAGGCGGGCGTGACCCCAAAACATGAAAAAAAAAAAAAAGACAAAAAAGGACAGAAAATCGGAAGAAACAGGTCCTACAGGCATCCCTCTTCCCCTGTGAACCAGAGAGTATGAAGACGGCCGAGAAGAAAAACTACACCGTAAGTTCTCAGATGACTCCCCAGGACAGTCACACAACCACGGCCCGTATTTCCCACCGGGGTCCTAACGGCTGGGAGCATTCCGGTCATCTCCTAGTGAGAGGAGCAGGGAACCGAAGAGGCCTCCCCGGGCCCAGCCCAACAGCTGCCTTCCAGGAAAGGGGCAGCCTGGAAAGTGCTAACAACAGGCTGATTCCACGGCCCGAGTGAGGCGACACAGGGAAGCGCAGAGCAGAGGAGAAGGAGGATGCCTCTGCCCGTGTCCTTAAAAAGGAGCTACTCTCTGAAAGGGACTCCAAGAAACTCTGTTATCACCATAGTTCGCAGTTCTGCTGGTGAGATGCTCTTTCTTACAACGTAAGCTCTCACTCAAACCTTTTTCGCAGGGGGCAAGCCTTATGGCCAGGCTCACTTCTGGTTCTGTGCTCAGGGATCCCTCTCGGCGGGACTTGGGAAACTAGAAGGGAAGCCAGGGATCGACCCCAGGCTGGCTGTGTGCAAGGCATGCACCCAACCCACTACGGCCCCTCAGACCTTTCTCGAAGGAGCTCTTGGTTCATCTTTCCCCCGAGACATTAATGGCAGATCCGGGAGTTTAGTGCCGTCTTTTTCTAGCAGCAACTCCGGATTGAGCAGTCAAGCAGGTTCAAGCCCTGCCAGAAAGCAGATAAAGGCTCACCCAAGGTGAGCCAGGTGATGGGAAGGTGTCCGGAGGAAGAAAGGGCATTCTCAGCGACCCTGGGGAGGGCAGTTGTGGGCTGGAGCCCCAGAAGTCAACACTGAGTCCAGCAGAGAATTCCATGAGTGGTTCCAAGAAACTCTGTTATCACCGTAGTTTAAGGACTATGTTTAAGAAACTCTGTTATCACCATAGTTGCACGGGCCCGGGTAAGGAGACCCAAGCCAGTCAGCACTAGTTTAGGTGGCTGCAGAGAAGGTAGGGACTGGAGATAGGACAGTGGGGAGGGGTTTGTCCTGAAGGCAGCCAACCTGGGATCCATCCCGGGCGATCCCCCTAAGACCAAAAACTAAAACCTCTCGGAGTTCCCTGCCACAGGCCCCAACGTACCTGGACAAGGCCCTCGAGTCCCACGCCAGTCACTGAAGGTCTCCCCTCAACTTGTTCCCTGACCCAGCCTGCTGCTTCAGCAAACATGTATCATTGTCATCCTGCTGTTCATTGACTGCCCCGAGCGGGCCCCAGTAACGTCTCCTTCGTCCTAGCCCTGAGA